TATTTTTAATTAAATTAGAGGAACTAATTTTAAGGTGTAGGTAAATTAATTTGAAAATACCCTAACACTTAATATGAAGGGGGAATTAGATGTTTCATGACTTTTAATCTTAATCATATAATAGATGAGATTAAAGTAGGACGTATAGTATGACTTTTAATTATAATTAAATGTCTTGATTTCCCTTTTTTTTAATAATATTTATTTGATAGAAATTTTTTACACAACGTAGACAATCTTTAAATGAGAAAGGGCTCCTAAACATGTTTCTTCTCTTTAATCAAAATTTATTTTTTTATAATTTAGTACAATTTAAATTTAAAAAAAAAAAAGCTTCTTGTTTGTGAATAAGAATGAAAAAATATCTTGGGCGCCAATGTACTAACATTGACATTGGCCGGTTGGTGGCAAGCTTCTATTAATTTTTTTAGTGAATAAATACAATGATTAATTAGTGTTAATCTTGCTCATTCAAAGTGTGTTTAGATTGAGAAAAATGAAAATGAAGAAAAAGAAGGGAATAGAATCTTTTTATTTCCTCACATTATTCCTTGAATCTAAACATGCTGTAGCCTAACCCTTTTTGTTTTTTTCCTTGTCCAACAAGAATTAACTTCTTTGTGTTCGAATTTTTTGACGTGCAAGAATGGCAACAATTTTTAGAATTATTCACGAAACTTCTAATTAGTAATTACAGATGAAACTTCATAACTTTTTTTTTTATGTTGGTTGCACAACGGGAGATAATTCTTTCGCATCATTTATCTCATCTCATCCATATATCATATAACTTGAATTTAGAATTTTTTACTTTTAACAAAAAAAAAATAACTACTAAATTATTTATGTCATTGACAAAATTTCATAACTTCAATTGGCCTAATATAAGATATACAACTGTCGTTAAAAGAAAAAATGACAATGGCGTGACTAAAATATAAGACGTTGAAGGGAAAAAAACTCATTGACCACGTGTAACATGTTATAAATGTGGTAGAACTCTACCAAGTTGGGCGATAGTCGCGCACCTCATTGAAGCAAGTGAGCTGTTTATTAGATTTGGGATAAAATCTCCAGTAACTAATATCTAATAATACTAACCTATTAACTATTGTCTTCATAAAAAAAAGTTATAAATGTGGTAATTTGATCACGTACGAAATTCAAAAATTTTCTTGTATTTAGATGGTTAAAGTGACTTCGAGATAATTTTTATAAATTTAAAGATTAATAATTGTAGACAATTATAAAAATGTATCTCTCATATTAACTTAATTCATTAAAAATATAATTTTTTTTAGATATTAGCATTAAAATTTTAACATAAATCTAGTTTAAAAGACATCATTCATAATAATGAATCTAGGGATGCAAAATTTTCTTCGCATTAATAGTCCTTTTTTTCTTTTTCTTTTTTTGTAAAGTCGCTTCGGAAGACTTACCACAAAAGAGAAAGTCTTTTCGTTTTTTTTTATAATAAAAAATAGCTCTTTTCATCTCTTTTAGAGGGTAACTGCTTGTAGTAAAACTTTGAACTCTTAACCATAATCATAAGTTAAAGTTTTAGAGCCACTAACTATCAAAATTGGATAAATTCTTGTTGATAGAATAGTTTCTTTATTTTTTGTATATTAATTATGAGTTATATTTAATAAAAGGAAAAATAATGAGTTATTTTAAAAAAAACTTTATTTTAAAAAATTTTTCTAATGAAATTTTAAATAAAATTGATGTAATTATAATAACATGTGTTATTGTAAATTTAAAATATAATGTATAATTATATAATTAATTTTTTTATTTAAAAGTCCACTCATGATATAAATCTACTTAGGATTTTTTTTTTAACTTGTACTTTGTGACACAAATTAAAAATGCATTTATTGTACATTTTTATAATTAATTTATATTAAAAAATTAAATGTTTATTTTAATTTAATTAATTAACTAATTAAAATTATTTTCATGACAAAGGTACTAAATAAAAGTTTATTTTTGTATTTTTTTATATAAATTAA